GGTTTCGAACTCCTGAGCTCAAACAATCCGCCCGCCTCGGCCTCCCAGAGAGCTAGGATTACAGGCGTGAGCCACCGCACCTGGCCTTGACTCCAATTTTGAAAGAAGTTCTAATGTGGGTAAAATGTTATCAAACAGCGTCACTTGCTACAGAGAAATCTTTCATGAAAGGAAGAGTCAGTTGATGCAACAAACCTCATCGTTGTCTTACTTTAGACGTGACAAACTTTATTGTTGTCTTATTTTAAGAAAGTGCCACAGCCACCTCAACCTTCAGCTACCACAACTTTTATCAATCAGCAGCCATTAATGTCAAGGCAAGACCCACCACCAGAGAAAAGATTATGACTTGCTGAGGGCTAGGATGACTGTTAGCAGTTTTTAAGCAATGAAGTATTTTTAAATGATGATATGTACATTGTTTTTTAAGACATGATGCTATTGCACACAATAGACTGCAGCATAGTGTAAACATAACTATTCTATGCAATGGAGAACCAAAAATTTCATGTGACTTGCTTTATTGCCATATTCTCTTTATTGCAGTGGTCTGGAATGGAACCTGCAATATCTTCGAGGCGTGCCTGTATATTGCTTGATCTTTTTCTCTTTTCCTTCAAATCAATGTGAAAAGAGAGTCAAGAAGAGATCCTGAAGGAGAGCAATAGGTTAGTTTTGATCTACTTATCTTTTATAAATTATATTTGTACTGAGAACGCTACTCAGTAGAAAGCTGATTTTTTTTTAAAGGAAAATTTTATGTTAGATATAAGGAAGTGACAGTATTATGCATAATTATCTATGCAATTACACTTGCACATGCTTGAAAATTTTTAGCCAGGAATGCTTAATAACATTTGCATGGTTAAATGAGACAGCAGAAACAACTGGAAGGGCCTCAGGGCATGGTCATCTATTTAAGCATCCACTTGGATTTTCAACGTAATTAGTCATATAATTGTGTGCCTAAACTTAGTAGATTCATGTAAGTAATTATAAATTATTAAAAAGCCATGCTTGTAAGATTTCGTTCCCTATTTCCTGCCAATCAAATTACTAAAA